CAGGGGGTTCCATTAAAAAAAAAGTGATTCACTCACACTTTTTTGAGCCACTCTGTAGAAGTTAAAATATTTTTCTGAAATATGTCCTAATATATACTTTAGCTCTACATTTATACAAAATTCCCAAGTTTTTTATTATGGGAGCTACAGATTACAGATGTCCGACACACTATTTTTGGACCTTGTATTTAAATTAATTTTTTTTTTCAAAAAATTGTATGACGAATCATTTTTCGAATTAATAAAAGGAATTATAAAATTTAAATTAGTTATTTTCCTCAAGAAGAGGTATTAAATTAAGGGGATTCAGTTGCACATGTGCATTTTTTAAATAAACCTCACTATTTCCACCTGATTCTCACGAGGTTGAAGAACTCCCACTTTTTTTGACAAACACCCTGTTTTTATTGCGAGCTTTTCGGTTATTTTCAAAACATATCCTAAACTAGAGGGTGTATGTCATCAAAGGGAAATCCAAGAAAAAAAAACGTGTAGACATTTTTAAACAAACATGCCTTTAATATTTATGTGTGAAAGCTTTAAAAACGGTGTTTTTACTACTTTTCAGAGACACGGTCGCATAAATAGTCAGTTAATGTATTTTGAATAAGTATCTTGGGAAGCTAAACAGTTTATCTTTTAAGACAACCATTAAATAGCATTATTTTATTTTTGGGTGTGTAATAAATGAAAGATGTATTAGTTGAGTTGTAATAAGTCGTAAATTTAAAGAAGTCATTTTTATTGCAAACAATAACAACATGTTCAGCAATTCTAGTATGGAAATATCTATGATATGGCAACCATTGATAAAACGCACCAATGCAGGAATTCCGAAGCACCTTTTTACGTAGAATTTAATGGTTTAAGTATACTTTTTTAAAATTAATAATTTAAGAATTATCAACAGAAAATTTGATTTTTAATACTGGACACCCTGTATATTTTTAATGCATTCTTACCTTTCTAAAAATATAGCAAACTTGATATTTTGCTCGATTCCTCTTAGAGATATATAGAGTTTATAAAAAATCGCCCACTTTGAATAAGTAGGCTTTGAAAGGCGTCGGCTGTAATGCAAAAAAATTCTAGCTGTGAACAGCAATTAAAACGAAAATATTAATTAGGAATTCGTTAATTCAGTGGGGGTGAAAGATGCCCTCGCATAACCGCTAAGGAGAATCTAATATTTTTTGTCTAGATTATACGGACAATTTAAAAATACGAACCTTTATTCTTCCGCAAAGATAAAAATCCATAGGCACAAAAATCCGGCGGTCTCAACGGCCAACGGCTGGGATCTTGGTTAGCTATTCAATTATTTTCGAAATTGGATGCAAAAATTTGCCGATAACTTTAGCGTTCTGAGACGGTGACTCGTCTTGCTGGAAAAATATGTTTTCGAGTTCCATTAGGGGCAGATCATCAATAAGGGGTCCAAAGCCTACTAATTAAAAGTGGCGAACTTTTAAAATTCTGTATTTCGAAGGGAGGAGAAATTCTGTATTTGGAAACTTAATTTTAAGTTCTTTTCGGAAAATGGAAATCATCGGAAATGGTAATATCAATTCGATTTCATTCTTTGATAGATAGTTATTATTAATTTTGATTAATGTCATATTCTTTGCTGTCGTTAAAGTATCACATTATCCGATAACTATAGTACTCGTATATTATTACCCTTTCTGTAGCATTGAACTAAATAAATTTTGTGTTTCTTGAACATTCTAAAACAATAAAAAATATTACGTTAATTAAAATTCTATCAATAACAATCTATCAAAGAATGAAAACGAAGTTATTTTGTATATTACCATAGAAATGCCTTTTGATTTTTAGGACTTCAACCATATTTTCATGTTTTTCTTAATTTTCTTAGAAACGGTATGGAAATTTGGAAAAGCATAAACGGGGTTAACCATTTTAGAACAAGTAAATTTTTTATGAAGAATGTATTTTTCTCAAAATGTCAATAATAAATAAGTTTTTCCTCTTGTAAAGATAACCCGGGGATATATACTATATAATACATAAATAAAAGTTTAGATCGGAAAGTGCGCATACGGACAAATTAAATAATATTTGGCACTGTTCTTCAGTGGACGCCATACAAAGCTTTTGACAATAATTTCGGAGCGGTTCGACGTAATTTTTAATTTTCCGTAATTAAATCAGAAAATATTTTCTATTCAAATTTATTATTTACTACTTTCTGCTATCGCCAATTTTATAAATAAAATACAGTGTGTTACACGTAAAAAACTTTATTTTATACATATTAACACCATGTATGAAGTTCCTAAAATGTCTTTAAAAAAACCCTGTAAAAACGGCAGTGTGAAGTAAAATATTCATGATTATAATAGCTATATTTGCTATAATGTTGGATCAAGCACCGATAACTCATCCCCCAAGTTTAACAGTACTAATCCAATGTTGGAAAATATGTGGATCACTTTTTGGAAACCGATGTTTCCACGTTGGTTTTGGTTTGGAGTTTACACAGCAGTTTCTTAATGCAGTTTCTGAATAAATTAAGTTTTTTAATACTACTTTTCCACAATTATCAAGGGTTTGTGTGAATACAGTTAAAATTAAACTCTCAAGATCACAAAACTTCACTGAAAAAGAACGCTTTATACACTTTTCGGTATTTTTTCAACAAGAACGGTTTATATTTTTGAGATTTTTTTTTGAATTTTTTATTTTTTTGAAGATACTCACTTTGACAAGAGAAAATGCGTTCTGTCCTTGTTTGCGGTTGTTCTTAGCAGCGCCCTACAACGTATGCGATTCAAATTATAAGCTTTGGCGGGAAGCTGAGCATTCCAATCTAAATTTACTTCTTTTTTCTATGATTGAAACTAACTCGGTCAAAATCAAAACTTTCGACTCTCTTATTTTTTTATACTTTTGTCAGATTTTAACTAAAATGATTGGGCTTTAAAGACTATCCATGAACAAACTAAATACGTTATAAATAGATTATTAATTAGTTCGTTTAATCTAAAATAATATTCCCAGAAACGCATTTCCTGAACCCATTTTTTTCTGCCTCCGTGTTAGAAAGGGTTGAACAAACTCGACCCGCAGCGAAGGGCTGCACTTAAAATAGGAAATCTTGAAAAAAACGTGAGGTGAGACATTTGGAAAGGGGTGGCTATATAAATATCGTTTTTTAAGAGAGAAATATGTATAGCGATAGAGAATGCCAGCTGTGTAGGAGCCGACGAAATAAAACGAATTTTAAATGGGATTATATTCGGAGCCATTAAAAGATTTCGAGATTAATATTAGAATAGTTTTACAAAATAAAAACTCTTTGGTTACAACTAGACATTTTTAGTTTTTACATTTACTTACTATTTATTTTTTTTTAATTTTTTTGTTACTACATACATAAACATCATGTTCTCCCATTATACAGGGTGAGTCAGAAATAAGTGCAAATATTTTCAGGATTGGTATTATACAGATCTCGATAAAAGAAACATATTTTCTCTTTACCGTTTTTCAAGTCGAAAATAACGAGTCATTTTACTTTGAAAATATAAAAATCGATTTTTTTTGCTAAAATTTTGAGAACCACTGGATCTTTTCTAGGTTTTCTTTCTTGTAAGTAGAATGTAGAATGTAGAATATTTAGGAGGGGTGTTAATCACCGCGACCTTACAGATCTATTGTATGTTCCCCTTTCTTGAGTCATAACGAGTTATAACTCATCATCATACAGTCTCAGGGCTTTAACAAAAGCCAGTATCTGAGACGGCTCCACAGAGGCCAGCTCTCCATCCTCGACATCAGCCATGGCACGAATGGTCGTCGTCTCTGCGCACTCATTGATAAGGTGTTCTGGTGTTTCCCCATTTTCCCCACAGAATCTGCAATCGCCGTTGTTTCTCAGCTTCAGCCTACTGTTTGTGCTACTGTGGTGTTCGTTGAGGAGACAGTGTCCTGTTAGAAACCCCGTGGACAATCCGAAGATTGTTTTTACTTAAATCAAGCAAAACCTTTGATTTTTCTCGGTCGTAAGTTCTGAGGAACTTTTTCGAGTGTCTTAGACCGTTGGAGGACACTCATTCCAAGTTACGGATGGAGTCTTCCAGATTCTTCAGGTCCGCTTTTAGTTGGTTCCCGTTTGGAAAACAGAACGGTTCTGGTTCAGTTAGTGGAGTGTTCGCTCCTTTCCTAGCTAGATTATTTGCTTTTTCATTGCCTTCTATCCCTTGGTGCCTGCTCACCAGAGTAGGAGGACTTTATTTGCTTTGCCTAATTTGTTGAGCTTCTCTAGGCATTCTTTGACCAACTTCGAATTGATGGGTACTGAGTTGATCGCATTTAGTGCTGCTTGACTATCGGATAGGATGGCAATTTCCTGTTTTCGATAGTTCCTATCTAAGATAAATTGTACGCATCTTTCGATAAATTTCTGCCTGACGGATACTGGGGTAGGTGCCCATTGGTTCGGAGTATGTATTTAGTTTTCGGCCCAAATACTCCTATTTTTTAGTTTTGGAAGCATCAGTATACCACGTTATAGTATGGTCTTTTATATGCTGAGTAAGCGTTTCTTTTCTCGAATCCTTTTTATTACTCAATACTACAGTGAGGTGTTTCTCAAAATTGTAAATTCTTGGTATGTCATCCACTGGAAGTTGGAGAAGTGAAATTTTCTTTTTGAGGGTGTTCCAAGCCCCTGACCTGAAAACTCTGCCAGTACTGTTTCCGTCAATGACCATTCTAATCATTGTCGCATTGGCATAACTACCGACGACAATGTGCAGTGATGTTAGGTCTAGAACGACCCTTCTTGTAAGTTTAATCAAGGGTTTAATCTGGGTTTAATGCTATATGCCATTATTATGAAGACATTATGCCTTTTAACTAAAAATTTAAAATAATTCCAATTTTTTTCCCGAAAAAAACTTCATGGATGTGTTTCTGGTGTCAGAATATACTACCCCTAAAAATAATTGCTCTTATTTAAGATTCGCCCTGTATACTGTGTATATAAATAGAAAAATTTATTATAAAAAATTATAAATCGGTTAAACAATTATTACTAAAGAGACACATTTAATCATCGAAACTAATGTCGTCATCCTCATCTAAGGACTCGTGATCATCTATCTACATCTTGAGATGAAGTAACAGGAGCAGATGTAAATTTCTTATTCTTATAAAGCTGGGTTCTGGTCATTCTGTTCACCATATCCTGCTGGAAAAAAAATAAAACATTTTTTTCGTGGGACTGCAGATTAACACACACCACAGCTAGTGTGTAAGCTGTACTTACGAAATTCAGTTCCCAGCCACGTGTAGTACTGCTTCGCATTCAGATATGGTTCTCGTAATGAAATTAATTACATTTAGTGTATTAATAACTGTATTAATAAGTACTGTTGACCAAAAAATAAAACAAAATCGTGGCTTTTTCTGTTCAAAATACTGTAAGTTTATCGTACCAAACCGAAAATACCGTACATTTTGAGCGTGTACGACACGTGTCACTGTGACAGTTAGTTTTGACATAAGAAACGTCAAAAGTTAATGTCGTTCGATCGCGACCAAATTTGGTGGGTACGCTATTATGTAAGAGGCGCTGCATACGGTCCCACCCTGCAAAGTTGGATACGACTAGTATTGCACAAGAGTCTTGAAAAAGTCTTGCAAGACCAAGACTCTTGCAAGAAATTCAAGACAAGACTTTCAAAATTTCTTGTCTTGAATTCCAAGAATCGTAAATTTTTTTTATTTCGTAATTTGGCGATTTTATGTCTTATTCTTGGTCTTATTGGATAGTTTACAATTATTGGTCATGCATTGCTAAACAATGCTACACATTTCGGCATTCAAACCCTGCCGCAACCGCACAAGCGGGCTCTGATAGCAACAACATAGAGACGAGCGCTCGTTCTCGTCGCCGATCGAGTCGCAGAACTCCGACTTCCTCATAGGAAATCGGCGAAGCCCCGATCGGAGATCGCCGAATATGTGCGGTTGCGGCATTAAGGTTGAAAAAGACCTTTCTGGTGTAGCTGTTGACACTGGTAGAGTTGCTAGGATCATTAATAAAATGTATATATTTGGAAATATACACTGGTTACACTCCGATTATCGTTTCGATGGCGTTTTTAGGTCGGTCGACTGCAGGTAGCTGCTTCCATTTTTGCCGCTACAAGTCTAGTTCTGCCGCTAAAGTGTCATAGTCCAAGAATTCTTTGTCTAATAGCAGAACGATAACAAACGTTAATCACGTTAATGACCAGCAAAACACACAAAATTCAAAATCTTGTCCTTGTCAAACTTGCTGTTTTAAACACTTGGATGTTGAAAGTCGAAAATCGAAAATTACATTTGCTTTCAAAGTGGAGAAGTGATTTTAGGGTGTATAATGTATATTTATCAATGACTAAAGAATACAAGGACAAATAGCACCCGAGTCCAAACTGTGACCATTCTTCCAAACAGTGCCGTGGCACATATTTTACATAATATTGCCGCTTGAAGGGATATTTATATTTTTGATATTATATGTTTTCACTACGCCTATGGTGTGTCGGGTGGTATCATACTAATTAATTACAAAAAAAAAGTATTAAAATGTTGACAAAAGGTACATAACTAGTATCGACGTATAGTACATATCAAGTAGATATAATATCAGGAAAATAATTATCGAATTCAATAGAAAAAAACGCTAAAAAGGTGTATGGGACTGTTTATTTCCCTATAAAACTTCTGGCTCTTTCTTATCATTGCGCCTTTTACACTTGAAAGCTGAACAAATTACCATTGTAATAAAGTTTATACAAAGTTCACTACACACAACCAACTATTAAAAATCGCTAAAATTGTCGCTGATGACCAGCTGATGATGTCGTTATGTCTAAAAAGTTGGCGTCTAAGGTCACAAATTCTGCTACAGCCCGTATATGGGCGTTACATGTCCTTGTATTCTTTAGTCATTGATATTCATCCATCTTCTTCTTCTTCTTTTTTTTTTCGTCCTTACTTACTTACTTAATGATCATTACTTTTTAAAAATTTTCGGCCATAATTTCGGAGGGGGGGGGGGGTTGAACCCCCAAAACACCCCCCCAGATACGGCCCTGATTCGAACCATTGTTCAGGTTTAATTAAGTGTATATTAGCCTTGTTTTTTCCTGGGTTCTTAACATTTGAAATAAATTTCCATATTTCTGAGCATTTTCTTCCACCTATGTAGTTATTAATTTGCTCACACTTTATATCCCATGCTTTGTTCTTAGCTCTGTTAATATGTGTCCATAATTATAATATACTTAATATGTCTAATACTTTAATTATTATATACTTAATATCCTATACTATATAAACACATACCTTCCTTCATCTTTTGGGCACCTAAAGAACGATATATTGTCTGTCATTCTACTTTCACAACCATCCACTGCACAAATATTTCTAGTAGACATTTTATTCACAATTCGAACAAAACAACTAAAACACTATTTTTGGTTCACCCTATGTGTCGGACCGAAAACAAAAATAAAATAAACTTGGAACGCTGTGTACACGTCGAGCAACGGATGTAGACTGACCCAAGTCTACAAGACAGGCGGGGAGCGGCGGGAGGAATTTTGATACGGGCGAAGAGTGGGTCAACTGATATATTTATATTCTTTAAACTGTGATGACGCCTTTGACGTTTCGAACCGATGCCTCTAAATGACGAAATCATCAGGATTTTTCTTAATTATGGGTCGATTGAAACTAAACTCAGTACATGGATAGAGGTACCCAAATGGAGTCTTCAGACGGACAGACGGGCAAAACGACAGACAGACAGAGGAAAGTAAGAAGTTTCTCTTCAAATATGCGCACATAGTGTACACACAATTTTTTTTGATTTTATATTATGTCATGTCATAAGGCAAATTTGTTTTTGGAGTAAAAATCGAATTGTCTAATTTTAGATATCTTTTGGTATTCTTCAGTCAACTGTGCGCCTATTTTACAAGCTAGAAATCACAAAAAAATAAACATAAGAACATAATTATTTTTAATTATATATCTCTTATTAAGTAATTAATCAAAGGTAATGTAGTAATAAATAAATTCCGTAGAATATTTTGAGGCAAAATGAATAACAATAATAATAAACCAAAAATTTAACGACTTTTAGAAATATCACTATCTATTGCAAAATTTCTAAATGTATCTCGATGTTTTTAAAAATAGTTATCATTTGTTTTTGAATAAAACAAAATAAATATTGATGACCTCCACAGTTTTACAAAGATTTATTTTCGAAAAATGACCGAAAAATTTAATGAATTTGTTAAAGAAGCTTTTGGACGAAAATTGCAATTCAGATTCAAATCTACAGCTATAGATTCGAGGAACAGCTTCACAAAGGCCAAGATGTTTACTAATTGCAGAAAGATTTTTGGAATCCCAACAACTGGCTTTAAGGTCAGAATTTTCGATCTCTTACAGGTAGCTGTATTTTTAATTTGTCATGTCAACCGACCCCTGAAGTTAACATTTTTACTATCTGTTTTCATTGTTTTTCAAATTTCATTTCGTGTTTTAACATTTTCACTTACAACAAATATTTTAAATATCAATCTATTAAAACCAGGGTTGGAAAAAATCATGATTTAAAAAAAATAAGATTTTTTTGATTTTAATTCAAAACAATATTTAAATCACCAATGATTTCCAAATGACTAGGACTTATTTCCAATTAAAGTCCTATCCTAAATTGCTAAATCTTAATAACTCTGAGCGATACCGATAACATTAACAATTCTACGTGGCGTGTGATTTTTCCACGTCGCACGGTGGGGTATTAGTATGAAAAAGGTGATCGAAATTCGAAAAAGCAAATGTGTTTAAGATTTCCCAAAAAAAGATAAATGACAAGTTAAATCATGTCTGCCATGAATGGCGTTGCTATGGGTGTGTTTAGTTGCATTCATTCGTTTCAACGAAACGTCAAAGTTGTTACTTGCTACTACAGATAAGAGGTAAATGGCTAAATTTTATGTTTAAAATTATAAATTGTTGTTGTTCTTGTGCTCTTTTTACGTTTATATTATTGTTTTGATTGAAAATGGCTCAGCAAGCTGCAGGTATGTATTCTACAAAAACGTATTATTTATTGTGATATTCTCTATACTAACGATTTTTTTTGCAACTAAAAGTTAGGCGTTCAGAAAATTTGATTAAATTTGTGACATTTTTATTATACTTAGAGATTTAGTTGCGCATTTCGAAGAATTCAGCATATTGTCTATATACGTTTTACTTAGTAAACATTGGGCTTTCATACAGTAAAATAAAATACTGCGACTTTTTGCGACTTTGCTGATGAAATGAGAAAAACATTCTTGTTTCCTCTAATTTGCCAATCAGTGATATACTAATACGAGGTGTAAACCGCGATGGCATTGTTGTGTACAAAGCGATCGCATTAGTGCCATTAGCACTATAGCACAATTTGGCATTAGTAGCGAGTTTAGTGGTATCGGCATTGTTCGCGGATCAGTCGTAGCATTAGTAGTATTAGTTGCAATATTACTACTGGCATTAGTGGCATTGACCGTGGAAACACTGGAACAGTGATTTTTCTTTCTTTTTTTTAGAATCAACGAATTATCCTTTATTATGTTCATATTATTTCCTCTTTAATTGAAAATAGCAATAATTTATATAAGGTCTACATAAAAAAATTTCGATCAACTATCTGTGTCAAATACCCTACTGTGCGTCGGTCACCAATATATTCTGCAAAAAAAGTCGTTCGCTTGAGATCAAAAGGATTTTATTTCAAACGTCTCAAAAATATTATTTTTTGTTATCTTTAACACCTAGACATAAAAGTAAAGCACTGTTACGCCTAAGCACAAAAGTACAAAAATTAAACTGATATTAAGTGTCAAATTCAAGGAGTGTACAAATTGTTGCTCGATTATTGTTTATATTATTTGCAATGTTTGAAATTGATTAAAAATTATTTGCCATTTTAAAAAAAATAGTATGTTCTATTCGGAGTAAAGATGTACTTTTTGTGCCTCCCTGTAATGTCGGAATAGCTTTACGATGATCCTTCAGAGGTACAGCATCGTCAAAAAAGTATAATTTTTACTCCTAATAAAACAATACACTATTGTTCGGAAATAGTCTTGAGTGGAGAATGAAATTAGTAGGTATGTATTATCTAATGTCAAAGATGTAAAGTGCTTACTGCAGATCAAAATGTCGGTAGGAAATTGGAAACACAACCGTTTCAAAAAAAAATATAAAACAACATATTTTCTGACAACGATTATAGATTCTCGGGAATGAAGATATATTCTCTATATTAGAAGAACCTAGTTCTGCACTAGACTTTGCGAGTAATATGTATTCGAACAGCAAATTTTTGTCACTTATACATAAATTTTAAAATAAATCCCTGCGTTTAGGGGTCTAATGGATTCACACGAAATTAGTTCAAAAATCGG